AAACCATTCTGGAGCTGATTATTGGTGAGTTCAGCGCTTTAATGGCTGCTTGACTGTCGGAGAATATGACAATCTCTCTCTTTCTGTAGTTTCTGTCAAGATTGAACTCAGCACATCTACTTATAGCGTTTATTTCCGCCTGAAATATGTCCGGGTATTTTCCCATTGCTTCAGAGAACTTGGTTCCAGGCCCAAATACTCCAGCTCCGGTCCCTTGTTCGGTTCTTGGCCCATCGGTGTACCATTTTATGGCTTTCTGCTGACAGCACCCCTCTATCTTTTATAGTTTTCTTTCTTTAGCATCTTGAATAGTACCATGTTTTTATTCAAGGTTACTGGATCAACGTTTCGCAGTTTGCGCGCATTTGATGCAGCAGCGGCCGAATGCATAATCCGATTTAAATTTTTCAAACACCACATTATTGCTAATGAAATGTACTCTCCAATGCTCTTTTGTTCGGGTTTTTAGCTTGAAAATTAAGCGAGCACGGACTTGCCTAATGTGCGAGGAAGTTGTAAATTGCATCGAAAATTACCCCTTTCTTGCATTCATTGTAATTTCTAAACGGGGCCAAATATTCTAAACGGGGCCAAATATTTGGTGACAGCTTTCGACAATCAGCAGCCTATTTATTCCTCTCATAATGCCCCAGCGGATTTTTTTTTCGTTAATTACTCAATGACTTACTAAAGTCTGTTTTTTTTTTAAAGATAATTCCCCAAGTCAAAAATTTAGTAACTATGTTGGCAACACAAGCCTTTTCTACACAAAAAATTTGAAAGCATTGACAATTTTACATTGTATTGCCAACACAATGTCATTTTGACTTTTATCTTTAAAAAAAAAAACACATTTTAGGCCTGAACACGTGGCGCGGAATTTTTCAAAAAGTCAAAGACAATTAAAATTGTAGCACAGCGCTGAAATTTGGTACGATGGCTTTATCTATTGTTCTTATGAATATACTGCAATTTTAATTGCTTCACATGACTGCTGCAACAATAAGAATTACAGTATATTCATGAGAACAATAAATAGAGCCATCGTACCACATTTCAGCGCTGTGCGACAATTTTAATTTTTTTCGAGTTTTTGAAAAATTCCGCGCGACGGCGACGTGTTCAGACCAGTAAGTCATTGAGTAATCAATGAAAAAAAAAATCCGCTGGGGCAATTAGAGGAATAAATGGGCTGCCGATTGTCGAAAACTGTCACCAAATATTTGGCCCCGTTTAGAAATTACAGTGAATGCAAGAAAGGGGTAGTTTTCGATGCAATTTACAACTTCCTCGCACATTAGGCAAGTCCGTGCTCGCCTAATTTTCAAGCAAAAAATTCGAACAAAAAAGCATTGGAATGTGCATTTCATTAGCAATAATTCGGTGTTTGAAAAATTGAAATTGGATTATGCATTCGGCCGCTGCTGCATCAAATGCGCGAAAACAGGCAAAACGTTGAATCAGTGACCTTGAACAAAAACTTGCTACTATTCAAGACGCTGCAGATCCATAAACCGCAAAGAATTTAACCTAAAATCGAGCCAAAAATAATATCCTCGATAATACCCATATAAATAATACGTGTCTAATTTCCTATTTTCCATTTAGGGCATCTAAAATTATTTTTGGCTAAAACATGAGCCATTGTATTTCTATAAATAATATTTATGGTAATAACATACAGAGTTAGAATTTGTCACAAATAAATATGATACAAAATCAACTAAAGCTCTTTCAAGTAAAACAGTAGTGTGCGTTAACGTCAAAAAGGTATTATTAGATAATCTTCAATTAAAAACAAGTTAGTATTGGAATTCCGCCAGAAATTTAAGAAATAATCTGTTCTAATGAGGTACCTAACCCTAACCTTTGGTTAAAAGCTTGACAAATGAATAGGGCAATCCAAACAAAATGGCGGTCAATGCATGGTCAATGCCAAAAAATTGGCGCCATAAATTTAATCCAAACAACCGTGACATTTTTCATCAAAAAACTGTTTTTTGTGTATTTTGTAGTGTTTTTAGATGATTTTCTAGCCTCTGGAAGGATAATTTTCGTATTTTAAGATGGAAAGTTGTTAGTTTAAGAAATTATTAGTAGTAAACTCGGATGTTTGCAAAAGTTATGATTTCTTTGTGACAAACCTTTACCTACTAAACAATTAGATAGGTACTATCCAGGATTTGTTTCCTGTTTAGTTTTTTCTTAACCAAATCCTGAATCCTGATGTTTGTTTTATTTGTCTGCTATTCAAGTTATCGACACAAGCTGATGTGGAGGATAGTAAATGGCTTGGATCCATGCACTATACACCATTTATGTAGAGAGACTTTTTGGTTTTTCAATATGGATTTTGTAAGATTTTTTCTCTTTTGCTACAATCCATGAAGACCTCACAAAGTAGAGACAAATCATTTTTCTCCGGTAAAAACCTGTGTTTTGTCTCTGCAGGACCGGCATGAAACTAGACTTTCTCGCGATTAGAACGTCTCCTACAACTAAGTACAATACATAACGTATGCATTTTCCAAAAAATCAACACTTTACAGACTTTATACTAGAGATGCCACGAATATTCGGCTACTATTCGGTATTCGGCCTATTCGGCCATTTTTTTTTGTATTCGGTATTCGGCCGAATAGTATTATCCGGCCGAATACCGAAAGCTGAATAATGAATAAAAAACGCACATATTAATCACAAATGTATCTATTTAATAACAAGTTACAATGAATTTAATACTTAAAATCTATCAAATGGGCGACTTTTTATTAATTACTGCGGTAATGTGCCATTTTGATAATTTTTGACTAAAAATAAACAGTAGTATAAGTAATAACGCGCGATCATCAAAAGAATATAGGTAATAATGCGTATTGTAACACGATACATTCTCAAGTGAACCAAATTCCGTCGTTACCGGAGGCGACGCGATGAGAATGAGACAGGTCCTGACCTGTTGTTCACGCACAAAACCCACAGATCTGTCGCCGAATATTCGGCGGCAGAATATTCGGCGGTACAAACGAGTGTGTGGCCGAATATTCGGTATTCGGTATTCGGCCAAATCACTATTCGTGGCATCTCTACTTTGTACAAATCAAAAATCGCAATAAATGGCTTTTGTTTTAAAACAAAAAGGCATTGGCCTCCATTTTGAATTTCATTTTGACAGGTCGTTGGATTGCCCTATAGTGCGGCAGCCAGAGCTGCTTTTCAGTGCCTAAATTGTTAGAGTATCATGCTCCCGGAGTGTGACGCTCTTGAACTGTTCGACATAAACAGCACTGGAACGCTCTTGTGTGGGGGGTGGTAGCTTTTGAAGTCTGACCGGTTTTTATTAGACATTTTTTGTTATGTTTTTCCTGTTCATCAATAGTTTTTTGTAATAGACCTATCTCGCAGGATTAGAAAAAGAGAGCTTAATTATAGTAAATACAAGTTAGAAAGTAATAAAAGATGACATGCGCGCGCAACTCGTAGGCTGCAGTGTAGTCAGATTGTATTGTTGCAGAACAAATTTAATGTCGACAATACAAATCGAACATTATAACATTAAAGAAGTGATATAGTGTCAAGTGTTTTACAACGCCTTAAATCAGACAAAAGAAGAGCTTTAAAGTGGATGAACATCGTTTGCACTTTTATTTCGATAAATGTTTCATCCGGCAACATCGCTCAATGAAATGGCAGCAAATATCCAGTCAAGTTCCCCAAAATTATGTAGAGGGCGCGAATGAACTTGGCATGCTTTGAATTTTGGCGGTAAATGTCAATAGTTTTAAACCGTTTTAATAAGTAAAAGGAAAGATAACTACATATGAACAATGAACAGTGAATATGTTAAAATATCTCCCAAAACGTTCAGTGGCCCTTAAAGAATATTTTCAAAAGTATCAGCGTCAGCTTGTCTTGAAACCACACATCAAACTTGACTTTTGAGGTTAAAATTACATTCGATTATTAACGCGCCAAAATTTAAAGAGCTCCAAGTACAGAAGCGCCCTCTTCAACTCAACTGTCAATATTACATGCCATTGCAAAGGAATATGTCAAGTATAATCTAACATAACCCTAAACGACACTGGGATAAGTTCACGTAAAGTATTAGTTTGCTTTGTCGAATTACACGTTACAAAGAAAGAAGGGACGATTAATTCTGAAATGGCCCCTGAATAAGAATATGACGCAAGCTTGTCACAAACTTGCTTCTCATTGGACGCTCACCTGCAGCCTACAAGCGACGCGCGCAGTTCAGGTGATAGGAGATCGGTCTATTGTGTCAAGAACAAAACAATGAAGAATAAGAAACCGTCAAAACCGAACGAAAATAACCTCAATTTTCTTAACCCCCACCATTTCAGACTTTAGGAGCATGAAACACCGAAATAAAGGTTGGTGTACGAGGGGGCAGGGGATAATAGAAATGAGTAGTTCAAGCATGTACGACACTCTTAGCTCTGGAACGCGCGAAGTAATTGTGGAGCACTCCTGAGCTGCTCAGGAGTATCTCAAGTGGGACACTGGAAAGCACCTCAGTAGTATGGATAGCAGTCGTCAGTCGTCATTTGTAGTAATAAGCGCTAGTTATTTAATTAAATTGAAAGAGAAGAAAAAGAAAAGAAGAAGAAGATAAGTATATTTAAATGAAAGTCGAGACAGGTAAGTACCCAGATTTAGAGATTTATACTAAACAGTATTCTACATACAGAAAATAGAAAATTGAAAATACGTGAGTACCAGATATTTAACCTTTTTTGTAGATAACAGCGCCTCCCATATACTGCAGGGTCTAAAACGAGAACCTTCAGGAAAATTAGAAAATTTTTGTAGAATGTCCTCTATTGACTTTCTGCTTAAAGGGGGTGTGCGCCAAAAATTAAAGTTTTAGTGTAAAAAAATCTAAGAATAACAACTGTTCAAACCTCGTTATTCTACGATAAACCATCGCTGAGATATACCGCGTGGACGACGCTCTCGTGACGTCACGAAAACTTCGTCCAGCCGCGCTCCGCATTGTTAATTTGATTGTTCCCGGCACGCGTGAGAGGTTTTTGTTTAGATTATTGCAGGTAACACAGGAGAAACATATGTAAATTTAATTAACTCCACTTTCTCGTGCGTCGCTTGAGCTTTCGTGACGTCATAGGGTGAGATGCGGTACCTTCATAGAGCCATATCTGCGGTATTATTTGTCATAGAGGGGTGCGGATTGCACTGTTATTCTTAGATTTTTTTTCTCTTTCTTTTGAGATGAAGTTGTTTTTTTGGCGCACACCCCCTTTAATAAAATAAACTCTCTGATTAAAAAAAGTGACACTAATTTTAAAAAGGCGATTCCTGTTCAAGAAAGATTCTACGTTGCTCTGAGACTTTTTGCTACTGGTGATAGTTTTAAAAGTCTACCTATTTAAAATTTCACCACAAATAGTATGCACATGCGTTTTTGACGTATGCGATGCATTTATGTCAGGTTCTGCAGGATCAAATAAAAGTGAGTATCTACCTAATTTTTTCCTATATATTTTTATTTGTATAATCATACAATCATTGTTCACTGACTTCTAATGAGGTGAGGATTGTGGGATAGCCGCAAAAGTGCTGCGTTGTTCATCAGAAGTTGTAGCTGCGCTGACTTCATCCTGATACTCTGGCGATGAGTAGTAAGCTTGTGAAACCATTGTATGAATTGGAGATTCTGCAGCTGCTAAAGAATGCTTTTTGAAAGTAGTTGAAGAAGGTTGTCCGGTAATGGTTGAGGAATTATTGTTTAAGTAAGGCATCTGATTTGTGCGAAAAGGATATTGTTGAGGAAGATTAATGGAATACTGTTGCCGCAATTGCTTCTCCATATTATGTTTCAGGGTAGCTCGAAACAACAAATTATCAATGTCATTCATCAATACAATCCGATCAATTTCATCCAAAGCTTCTAACTTCTCAGCAACCAACTGCCCATAAACATGACAAATACTTTGTTTTGGTTTTGCAGTGTGTTGTATAGAAGTTTTTAAAATCTTATAAGCCTCGTTACGCTGTCCAACTACGTCCACAGCCGTTCTTTTTTTATTTTTGGTAGTAGGTGCCTTGAATTGTGTTTCTGAAGTGGTATTACTTGGCCCTATTTGTGTATTTGGATTCAAAGTTTCACTAAACATGTGTGCTTCATTGGTTTCGTCAGAGGTGGCAAACGGTCCTGTTTCTTCGTAGATATTCCCAGAATTTTCATCTTCCGCGGTGTTCAAATTTTCCGACTCCTACAAGAAAGCACATTGTTGGTTGAAAATTATTAACTTAGAATCTTAATCATTAATTCAAAGAAAAGTTAAATAATTCAGTAATGAATTGTAAAGGTAACCAATCAAACCACACACATAATTAAGTATAATTTTTCACCAAATTATTAATTTGTTACGCTTTTCTTGAATCTATATTGTATATTTTTTTACAGATGCCAAAAACATCGTAAGAATCGGAAAAAATTGCTAAAGACTTTCATACAAAATGGAATTTTCCACACTGCCTGGGTGCATTAGATGGCAAACGTACTAATCCAGCCACCAATGAAAAGTGGAACAGAATTTCACAATTACAAGCACACCTTTGGTGTAGTTCTAATGGCACTAGTTAAACTAATTACTGTTTTACATTTGTGGATGTTGGATGCCAGGGTCGTATTAGGTGCTGTTTGATTTAAAATAACTTGAAGAAAACGCTTTAATCGCTCCTGAAGATGAACCACTATCTAATTACACCAACTCACCTTTTCCATATTATGTATTTGTCACAGACGATGCTTTTGCTTTAGGGCCCCATCTTTTGAAACCATACCACGGACTTCATGATAAAGGCAGCGATGAAAGAATTTTCAATTACCGTTTATCACGTGCTCGACGTATCGTTGAAAATGTATTTGGAATATTACTTGAACCAGGAAAAGTATCGAAGATATCATGACATGTGTCTTGCTACACAATTATTTAGGGAAAAGTAAACATTCTGCTACTATCTATTCACGAGTAGCCACTTTTATATGGAAAAGGATGGTCAACTTTTGCCTGGCACGTAGCGTCAAGATTATCATTTAATAATATGTCATCTTTCCTCCAACTCAAAAAGTTACCAAGGAAATCTGGACATGAAGCACAAGAAATACAAGAAGAATTTTGCGAATATTTCAAAACGATAGGATAGGTCCCCTGGCAGGACAGTTATTGTTGAACTTTTATAGTAATATGATAAAATAAAAACATATTTTTGTACTAACCTCTGTGTCTTGCGTATTTCTGAGTTCACATATACCGTGTAAAAATCTAGCCATTTTTTCAAACGCAAACCATGTAGGCCTAAAAACTTCTACGGCATCGGATCCAGTTCCTGATGAAGCTTTAACTTTTTTAATCAGAGGCCGAAATGTGGCCATCAGCGATTCTTTTTTTTTCTTCAGTTCTTGCATAGTACACTCAACAGATATGTTATCTTGTATCCTTTTCCATGCATCATTAACTGCATTACGATTTTTATGATCTTTATGTTTAGCCATCCAAATGACGGGCTCATTTTCATAATGATCCAGAAATTCCAGAACTATGTCATTTGTCCACTCCATTTCACAATAATCAATATTTATGAAAAACAAAATTTCACTTTAACTATGTTTATTGGAAACAAAATGATAGTGGGTACACTTCAGTTCGTCTTTTAAAACGGAATGAATACTATCCACTATCCAATAAAAGCAAAATTATTTGTGAATTTAGTTTGAGTCAACATGGCAATTATACGCCATTAACAAATATTTGCCAAGTACTCGTGGCGTTTCCATTTTCTGTCGGTAAAAATGGTCCGAGTCAGAGGGATCACAATCACAATTATTATTCGTTCACTTATGCGGTGTACAGACTTATCTATACTCAAACGAAATTCACAAATAATTTTGCTTTTTCTGTCAAGGCTTTAACCAAATGTTCGTGCTTACGTACTTGCAAACACTACACGTCGAGTAAGCGCTGTGCCTGCTATGGCTAATTACAAAGCTGGTATACTTGCCAAGTAAGCAAATATTTGTGTATTTGCCAAGTACACAAGTGGTATACGCGTGTGAGCCCGGCTTAGGTAAATTCTGCCTGAGGATCTGACATTCATAAATTGCCATCATTTGTTGTTGCAAAAGTTTTGTGCATAGTATGGCTTTTGCAAGAACAACATGCAGCTACAATCTTGAATAATATGAGTTTCAGTCATTCATTTGCTGCTCAATATAACTAGAAAAACTAGAAGTGTAGGGCTGATTCTGCCCTTTCAGAATCAATAACACAGGTGATAAGCAAAAAAAAGAAAAAAATAGAAGTGATATGAGGCAATTAACATGATTACAATAATAAAAATAGAATTGACTGATCCATAATTTCTTTGTACGTCTGATTTTTTTCAGTGGTGGATTAAAGCATTAATGACAGGAAGGATTTTTCATGGGGGGGCCAGTTAATTAAAAACGGAAGAACGACGTCAGCTTTTACATATTTCGGAAGTTCCTGCTGAGCTATTTTCGAACTTCCTTAGGATATTAAATGACTGTAGTTGTATGCCTGGAAGGAGGTTTTTTTTTTAAATATGCTGCTGGGATTGCAATGGGAGCGTCGCGACGCCACGTCTGTGTCATACCATAGAGTTTTTATATTTGGATTAATCTATTTGACTTTCTGAATTTTGATTTTACATTTATTTGTAATATCAGGCATACATTATTTACTGTTTATACTAGATTAGAGGTTATGTGGTATTATGTTTTGATGTATCATTTAAAATCGAGTATAAAATAATATACTATTTGTCACTTATTCTGGCCTCGTATTCTCTAAACTATACAAACTCGTTTCCATTTGAAGTTATTTTTGGAGGAGTGAACTCCTTTAAATTTTACATGCCATCCTCCTATCTTGGCTTGTGCCTTGAATCAATCTTGTATACCAAATTTACAGGGTGTTTGAATAAGGGGGAATTTGACCTGTTTTTGAGTTAATTTTTTTTATAAATCAGTGGTAACATTCGGTGCTCCCTTTCAAGTCCCCTTGATTGATTTATTGGCGAAAAGTTCCAATTTTCTGACGAACAGTTCCAACTTTCTGGCAAACAGTTCCAGAATCCTGATGAACATTTCCAATACTTCTTCACGTACTTCTACGGTCAGGTTCCACTTGTCTTCGGTCTTTTTCTTCTTGCTTGACTTTTTGTCTTCGGTCTAACTCTTCGCATGTTGCTATGAAAGTTCTTCAAGCCAGTCCTGTTTTTTCGTCTTCTGGTTTCTTCTTCTTTTCTTTGATATTTTTCAATATATGGATGGACCGTAAGTCCAACGACAATCGATTTTATCCCCCCCCCCCGTATACCTGGATAGGTAGTATCCGCCAACAAAATTGTCATCGCCCTTTTCATTTTTCAGATACTAGGTGTTTTTGAAAAAGTTGCATTTTGGGACACCTCTTATATCTCGGTTCTCTCATAAGTGATCGAAAATGGGACATCGGGTTCTTATAGATCTTTCTACATAGATTCCAGTGGCGAAGTCAGTTTTTCTCTAGAAGTGACAGTTTTTGAATAATGAACCAAACCTACATTTTTTCAAATAAGACACCGTGTATCAATAGCTCGTTGGATAGTTCTGCTTCTGCTAACTTCAATGAAAACTGTCAGAGATAAAATTATCGAATTTTATATAATTGAAATCAGCAGCAAAAGCAAAGCTATTCAATGAGTTTATAATATATAGGGCAGTGGCGCACCCAGGGGGTGGCCTTCGGGCTAGGGCCCCCCCCCAGGCTGCCCCTGCAAAACTTTATTTTAATGTAGGTATAAAAAAATGTGGCAAATTCAGGGCGTGGTCCCTGATACCTCAATTTTTTTTTTAGATTTTCAATGACAAGCCACAACCCGAGCCACAACCTATGTTACTTACTGTCTCTTAGGAATTAAAAAATCGTAGCTCCGCTCTCTTTGGTTTTTTTCCAATCAAATTTTGGTATGTTAAAAGAAAAAGGCTTCTGGATATATAAAAAAAAATCATCATTCTCCAAATTTTCCCAGATTTCTAGGAAAAAAATCAAAAATCAGGCCATAGTCTGTATTGTAAAAATATCAGTTAGTGTCTCTTTGGAATTGAAAAATTCGTAACTCCGCTGCTATCTTTGGTTTTTTTCTCGATCAAATTTAAGTATATTAAAGCTAAAATGCTTACGGATATTTAAAAAATAATCATTTTCCAAAGTTTCCCGAATTTCCAGAAAATAAAAATAAAAAATTCAGGCCATAGACTGTAAGACAAAAATATCACTCAGTCTGTCTTTTAGATTACAAATATTGTAACTTCGCTATCCTTACTTTTTTCCAATCAAATTTTAGTATGTTAAAGCTCAAAAGTTTCTGGATATTTCAAAAAATTCTTCATTTTCCAAAGTTTCCCAGATTTCCTGGACAGTGACACACCCAGGGGGGAACCATCGGGCTAGGGTCCCCTCCCAGGCCGCCCCTCCAAAACTGTATTCTTACGTATAAAAAAATGTTCAAATTTTGGGCGTGGCACCCTGACACTTCAATTTTTTTTTTTTAGATTTTCAGTCACAAGCCACAACCTATGTAGGGCCCCCCCCAAACATATTTCCTGGGTGCGCCACTGATATAGGGTGTCTCATTTAAAATAACGGGTGATATAAATAAAAACGAAGTATCTGCTACTACTACAATAGTCCGGGAGGCAGTGAAATTTTTTAGCACTTATTTTCCCAGTTGGTGTCTATTAAATACTTTGTTCTCCTGGTGATACAAAGCAAGAATTTTTTAGTCTGGCGAAAATGTTCGGATGGGTTCACAAGATCAATGAAAAATACAAGTACGCTTATTTTTCCAGACATAAATATTTCACATTTACTACAATAGAACATAAAGTATTATGAAAAAAGCAATTTGGCTTATCTCAGATAGTGAAAGTGAGTCTCGCTGAAAATTTTCGGATCTTCAATTTTTCACTTGCCAGACATATTAAACATACTCACAAATTAGCCGGACTATTTTTTTACGTACCTTCAGTACTTCTCATTAGTAGACCTATTTTTATAACTGAGAAAAAAAAGGGCCGAGCATTTATAACCTTTAACGCATTCTGCGCCTCAACCCAACGGAAAACCTCCCTAAAAATATACATATGTATTTTGCTTAGAATTACTAACCCTACAATTCTATCCACGTTGTCTGACTGGGAAAATAGGTACCGAAAGTCGTCACTGCCTCCTAGACTACAAGTAAGATATATTCTCCGTAGTATTTACTTTAAAATGAAGTAGATATTACATTTCGAAACTACCGGAAATTAGTAAATCCTTCGTTGTGAAGTAAATACTTCGTAGAATATACTACTACTTGTAATAGTAGCAAGTAGGTACTTCGTTTGTAATCATACCACCCAACGTATTTTTGGTTCATAATTTACAAACTATCACTTTTTAAGAAAAACTGACTGAATCTACGGAAAAATATCTATAGGATAGGAACCCGTTGTCACGTTTTCGATCACTTATGAGAGCCGAGATACAAAGGGTAGGGTTGTCAGATGCTTGACTTTTGAAAATAGGAGAGCCTGTATAAAATTAAATGAGATTGGATAATAATATATGAGAATATTTTATGCATTGTAAAATACCCATATCATAATTGGAGTGTTTGGTGCTTCTTTTAAAATGCGACACACGACATTTAAATAAACGATTTATTTAGCGTTAGCTCACAAGTTATTTCCTACATTGGACAGATATCGGGTTATACGGCATCGCATGCGCATTTCCCGAGATATACTGTGGCACAGTTGCCACATATACAACAATAATCATAAAAGCTAGGAAATAATGTACCTGGTGATGCATTATGATTATTGATACAAAATTCTTTCTAGCATAGTTGGCAACTTGCTCTTGTTTTATCATTTAATAAAGAAATAAAAGTATAATTTTTTTCAAAAATTTCAAATCACATCATATAACCCACGAATAGGGATGGCAAAATAAAAAAATATACTTATCGATATATCGAATCATATGATATATCGCAATAACATATCGATACATTCGATATATCGAACGAAAAACATCGATATTTTGAATAAAGGTGGTAGACGCTTTTTACTCATTGGGCGTCGACCGGTGAGATACCACCATGCCAGAATTGAGTAGCGCTAAGTGGTATCACCACGTTCCGCTACTGCGCTGGCAGTCCGGTTCCAACAATGAGTAACAGATAGCATGATGGCGCCTCCAGGATCAAAATATTCCGGAGGTAAAATACCCGACCACTCGGATCTCCGGGCGTCGGGTGATCCTGGGGGTCCTTCATGCAAAGATATAAAGAGAAGATCAAAAACTCAACTCAGAATTGATTTTAGCAATATAAGAGGAATAAGTACAAATATGAATTCAGTTCACCAACATCTTGAAGAACAAAGACCTGACATCCTTGTTCTCACTGAAACTAAAATCAGTTCTGCAACACCTATTGTGAACTATCTTTATCCCGGCTATGACCTACACCACCGATTTCGACATAATTTTGGGATCTGTGTGTACATTAAAAATGACCTTTCATGTCATCGAGAGGAGAAGCTAGAACCAGCGAACCTTGATATTATATGGCTAAAATTCACCTCAAAGTCATCGACCAAGTTTATCTGCTGCCTCTACCGACCGCCATCTAACACCGAGTACCAAAACTTTTTCGCGACATTATCCGAAAGCTGTGATAGTATACAGTCAAACTATCCACAGGCGGAAATTGTCTTTTTAGGAGATTTCAACGTCCACAATATACCCTGGCTGAAACACCACAACAAAACAGATAACGAAGGCAGAGAAGCAGAAGCTTTTGCCATAAGTTGTGGTCTAACGCAGCTTGTCGATGAACCTACCCGTATCTCAGAAAAGGGCGAATTTGCAGCGCTTTTAGACTTGTTCCTAACCACAAATCCTGACTCGTACACAATTCAAGTAGATGCTCCACTTGGTTCGTCAGATCATAAACTTATAATAACAAAGTGCGAAATGCTCATCCCACCAAGCCAACAACCACTTC